GCCCAAGCTGAAGGGCTTGTTCAAAACCACAACAATCAAGCCCCTGCGCTCCCTCCCCTTCGCTATCACACACCATATGCAGGTCATGCAGCTGCTTGCCGGGTCCAACCGGGGCTGACCCCTCATCTGGTATATGTCCTCAATATAACTGACCTCTCAATGCATTTCGAGCGACCTGGCTCTATTACAGGTTTAGAAAGAAGCGCTGTCGGATACAAGGAGAATATTGAAAGAGAAGCAATCCTCCCTCCTGCTGTAGTGTACAGTGGAACGTACTGTACCGTGGAATGTGACGTTGTACCCCAGTATAAATCCTATTCACTCCCCTTCTCGAATCTCGAACACCCCATCTTTATACTACCAAATAGAAGGAGTCAATGCTACTCTCTAGTCTAGATAGTGAAGCCAGACAGACCCTATATGCTCAAGTATGTGTACATGTCCCACGTGTATGCAAGTTTGTTTTCCAGAGAGGTAGTAATCAATGTGTTCGCCAAATGTTAGTACTGTCAATATACTGTGTCACACTGTCATGTTGTGAAATCACTTGTTGCTGACACATGTTACCCACTTGTGACTCCAGGAGCGAGCTGGAAACAGTACGGGGGATTCATCTTTATCTCCCCTCTCTTGGCTCCCCCCTCTCTTTCTTCTGCTTGGTACAAGTAAGTTGGGAACCTGGAAAGGATTCTCGTTTACGACCTACGAGTCAATAGGATCTCTGTACTTGCTAATAACTACACCAGAGCAATGTGTTAACATTGATATATGTGCAACTGTGCATCATCCTGATCCATGTACTTTACGTACTGTCTAACGGCGGTGTCAGACGAGTCCGATAATTGTGGCACTACATACAGCAGTACGCACACCGTACATGCTTCCGCCTACTTACCTAATGTACTACCCGTGCAACAGGTCTGCAAGTCTGCGACCCTGCATTCACATATCTACAAAGTAACCTAACCTACCTGCCTCTGATCTGCGGCATCTGCCTCCAAGAAATGTCACCAAGGTGGGGAGGGAACTTCGGAAGGGTCTGTGGCAAAACCAAGCCTCCCAAGTCTGTGAGAGCGTTCACAGTCAGTTCACACAACAGCACAAGTGATCTTCATGACCTCCTCTCCCTTTTGTACTACATATGACAGCCCAGAAAATCACCAGATCCTTCTCGGGCGGGATACAATATGACAGTATGAAGTCACCATGCTTTGCATAGTGTGCCCTCTGCCCCATCACCAGACATAGACGGCTCCAATACTTACTACCATGGTGGGAAAGTATATCATGCCCGAGTTATCTTGTGCACCCTCCCAAGATGCACACTGATTAACCACATTCTGCTTGCACACCTACAAGTAAAATACACTTTCCCGGATCTGAGGGCCGTTCCCGTCCAGCCGGATAAATATGGAACTGTATCTGCTCGCATCTTCGTCGTCGTTGCAAATACCAACACACCAAACTTTATTAGGCTCGGAACCACTCAAGTCTGTACAAGTATTGATTTCTCTATCTTACTGCTGACTGGATTTGCAACATCTATCTAGGCACTCATGAGTGCACTGGGCAAGCTTTCCCAAGCTGGCAGCAGCAATGTGTGCAAAAAAAGAGTTTACCACCATTGAGAACCGGTCGTATTGTTGAGTCAAGCCATGCTGGCAGGTTTCAAGGTTGGGTATTGACAAGTCTAGTAAAAGTTTATGCTGCAAGATGTTTTCTGTACCAAAAAGTCAGGCAAAAGGTAAGGTCTCGATATTCCTCTACATTCTAGCGTTTGTTGGCTTGACTATGATAGAGAGGGTTAGTACCAAGTTGGCGATGACCTCCTTGAAGTTTTGGCACTTGTGGTTGGTCTTCTGGCCTCTGCCTTCACTTGCCAATGATAATCCACCATGGAAGAGGATTCTCCAACGTCGCGTGCTAATTCGGGATGTTTACACCTGAACATAGCACATCGGGGAGTAGGAAGACACAAAATGTTTTTCACGCCCGACAACTTCCTGTTCCTGCTGGCCGGACCGGACTGGTGGAAATCGCAGTTCAGGACATTGGAGACAATACTTGCCCAGTGAGTACTTGTATTATCCAAGAAGCCTTGTTAAACCAACAGGCAATAAATAAGTCGAGTACGCCTACCTATCTGCCTTGCCTTCCTATCCCAAACACAGGTGTTTTGTTATTGTATAGTTTGCATTAGATCTGATGGGAATTCAAAAAAAAAAAAAAAAAGAAAAGAAAAGAAAACACATGTTGCCTGGTTAGATTATGAAACCTCCCTCGCTACTTGACACTCCCGACGAAGATGGTGATAACCGGGTCATCCCGTCATCTCTAACCCCCCGGGCCCGGAGTATCTTGTGCAAATGAGTGACTGGCAGGTTTGTGTAGGCAGAAGTTATAAACAATGCCCTGCACTGCCTCCTTGAGGGTGTAGGAGTCATAGGAGCCAGTAGTTGGTTATTAGCAAGATACATCCCAGACAGTATATATACACACACATACACACATACACACATACACACATACACACATACACACATACACACATACACACATACACACACGTAAAACCTTGCAACCAACATACCATCCTGGCGCAATATCGTATTGCCATGCATCAGTCAGTCTGTTTCAGGGGCGGCTTTTTGTTGCTTCATTTTTAGTGATGTGAATGCCAACTTGGGAGGAAATACCCTTCTTTGTCCAGTACAAGTAAACACAAAGCAGAGATGTTTCATACATCTCCCGTATAGCCCAATAGCGAGATATCAAGAGATCCGAAGCGCAACATAAGGTAAGAAAGGAAAAAGGCAGGAATCTCTCCGAGGAACAACTGTAAGAAACCATGATCGCGAGCTCGTCTCTGATTCATCAGCTCGTATACAGCGCAAGACCTCAGGCCTGCCTCTCTTGTTGCTCTTTCTCTATTATCTTCCTCAAAGACAGCTCATCATCCGTTCGTTTCCATCGTTAGCTAAAACAACAAGCATGCGCCGGTGATCTATGTAGTTAGTCTAGCTAAGTAAGCAAGTAGGTATCTGTCTCTCTTGTCTGTCTTATCTTCCATCTCAAAGAGTCTAATCGCTCTTCTTTTCTTTCGCTTTTTCTCGCAAAAGCAATGCACTCAGGGAATTTTTTCAAATCTTTCTTTGAAACGTAAACATCGATATCATATCCCGCGATTGAAAACCACCATGCCGTCCTCTCCACCGCGACCGTGGAACTCCTCCTCGAGGCTCTCAGCGCTGATCTTCTGGCGCTGGGGGAACGCGGCGAGGGCGAGCGGCAGGGCGACGTAGCTCATGCCGAGGATCAGGCCGAGGTTGACGGGGAGCGTAAGGCGCGGGTTGCGGCTGAGCCAGCGCGTGCGCTGGAGCCGGACGAGGATCAAGGGCGGGATGACCATGATGGGTGTGCTGTTCAGGACGCGGCTCAGCGCCGTCTCGCCGACGGCGAGCGTAGCCGCCTTCTTGCTCTTGCCGAGTGACGCCACGTCGCTCTCGGCCCGGCCCTCGGCTGCCAGCTTGGCCTTGTCGGACGGGGAGAGCACGGGGTAGACGTCGATGCCGACGCGCATCTCCTCGCCGCGCATGAGGAGGACGTTGAGGAAGCCGGCGGACGCGACGGCGGCGAAGGGCACGAGGCGGCCGAGGATGAGTTTTGTCGAGGGTGAGACGCGCTTCAGGCGCGGCACGAGCGAGTTCAGGCCCACGGCTACCGAGCACGAGGCGCCGACGGCGAGGAGGTACGACTGCGCGATCTTGGAGTACGAGAGCGGCGTCGACTTGTTCGCGTTCGCGTTGTTGATGGCCACGTTCAGGGACTGGTTGCCTATTTGCCAGAGGACGGTGCCGACGTTCTATGATTGTCCGTGGTTAGCTGGCGCACAGTCGCAAACTTCGATACTGCTGGCTATCCTGCAGTCGTGGGGAGGGGGGAAAGGAGAAGACGCATGCGTACCGAAAGGCCGGGCGTCAGCATTCCCGCGGTAACGACGAGGTTCGAGAGCGCGAAGCAGGACATCCGAAAGGGTAGGAGAACGGGCTTGCCGGTATCTGACAAGCGACAAATCGCGAGCGCATCCCGTTAGCCAAAGTGTAACCCTATATGTATATATCGCCCAGCCGCAGGCTCGTAGGCGCATTCGTAGGCGTATGGAGAGGGCGGATCAGCGCATACCAGGATGTAAAGTCGAGTCGACAATCTTCTTCGCGTCCCATAGCTCCGGCGTCATGTCCTTGATCTCGCCCTGTTTGTACGCCGTGATCAACCTCTTCGCATCTTCGAGGCCGCTCGTGCCAGCCAACAGGGTCCTGTGGGACGTGCCCGAGTTAGTTCCCTTCTTCTTCTTCTTCTTCTTCTTCTTTCTTTTTCTTCTTCTTCTCCATCAAGAAAACAAGAATAGGACGGATAGGAGGAAGAGGCTTGACTCACCTTGGATCCGTGATGCTGGCGGTATGGCGCACGCGACCCCAATATGTGCTCAGGTCATACTGCGACTCGGGCAGCTCCCGGTTGCCAGGGAGAGAGGCGGACATTGTACTTGCTGTATGATTTTTGGGGGGGGGAAAACTGCCCTCGCCGAGCACGTCCTGGTCGCAACTCCTCTGCCTGCCTGCCTACCGCAGCGAAATTCTGTGACAGAAGGGACTGCAATTGGCGCACGACAGACAGGAAGTGTTGCGAAAGAATTGTTGGCTATCTTCGGCGGTGAATCAAACAATTCCAGGCCGAGACCGGCGCCAAGCCTTTTTATTCTGTAAGGGTCTCTCTCACTGAAGCCGCTAACCTCGAAGCCTGGGCCAAAAAAGTCATGTATCTTTCCATCTACGACTCAGCATCGTGGGGCCTTGACCAGATTAAAGGCACGACTTTTTGTCCGATTTACTCATTTCAGACCCATCCTTAATGATATTAACGAAGACGAAAAGGAGCAAAAAGAAATGAACTCGAAAAAGGAACAGACAACGTATGCCGATGCCCACGCATGAATGTATCGATCCCGGCCGGACTCGAACCGACAATCTCTAGAGAATCGTATATCGTAATAGAACCGAAATCTAGCGCCCTAGCCATTAGGCCACGGAACCGATGGGATATTCTGTTGTGTGACTCGAGAGAGAGCGCAACACAACATGCTTGGTTGATGCCCAATCATGGTGGATATTTCTTCGGTCGTGTTTTGGCAGTTGGTCGAGGAACTAATTGCGGGGTTGAATTGCCGACCGTGATTGGCCTCGATGGTAATAAACCGAGTTCATCACCTTTAGATACCGGCCATTCCATCACACCTTCTGAAAATGATGACAGTGAGTTCGCATCTTCAATCGCAACTCCTCTGCTTTCTACTAATATTAATAAGCCCGGGTATCGATCGAGTTGACGTAGCTGCAGTTCACGTAGTCTAGAAGCCACTGGGACTATCGATGTGTTGCTCCAACAGCTCTGCCAGCTCCTATCCCGCGTCAAGAACTTCCACTTATCCTTCATCTACCCGTTTGTCAACACCAACCTTATACCCCTGGGCGCCTACACGAATGCATCCACCGTCCCTGTCTCGGCAGACCTGTCTTTATAGGGATGACCCGCATACGTTGAAAGCAGGACTATATCTCATCGCGATCGAGGCTTGTGGGTGTGAACAGTGAAGTGCTTGACGAGGACTTCTTTGTCTACTATCGGACAAGCCGCGGCGAACCGGGCGCTCATCCTGACTGACTGAGTGACATGAACAGAAAGGAGAAGTAGTCCTGCCCGAAAAGGAAAAGAAAAAGGAACAGGAAATGGGCGATGGGGGTGATTACACCGCCAACTGACTTGATTCCTTGTAACCTACCCACATAGTATAGTGTGAAGTCGGCTTGACAGTAGCTTAACCTAGCTCTTGACGAGGGCGTTATGGGAGAAGAAAAGGAAGATTTTCATGCTACCATGGAGATTGTTCAAGATATGCGTCAATGTCAACATGCACAATTTTCATGAACACTCTTCCTCAAGGAGGCCAATATGTGATGGTTGTTGATGGTACTCTGGAGTCTGGGGTATCACGGTATAAGAAGAAAGAGCAGCTTTGCACATGGTCACGATATAACAACCAGGATAATCCCATAATGAAATTGTTCAAAGGTTGAACTTCTTATTTTGACTGTCGAGAAAGCGCAGCCCAGGTGTGCCATATGATGATAGGCGATCATCAATCAGTATGGCGGCTTGACAGGATAACCCCCCCTGGACGCCTTCCACGCATCGAAATCGCTCAACCACCTCCTCACCATCCTGATCTCCCAGCGGTGTGCCTCCCGGATGAACTGGGGCTCGGCCTCGACGTCGAGGATGCCGGACGAGTCCCAGTGGTGTCCGGCGCCCGTGATGAGGTGTTCCGGGTGCAGATCCTTATCCCTGCCCGTGACGGAGAGGGCGATGGACTGGTTCCGCACGGGTGCGAGCGGCGAGTGGTAGCACAGCCCGTTCCAGACGTCCTGGTCCCCGTCAATAAAGGCGAGCCGGTCGGCCGAGAAGCCGAAGTTGCCGAAGCTGTTGTACGTCTCGACGTCCGGAGCGGAAGGGATCTGATTGTAGGAGCCTTTGGGGAATGCCCACTGCGAAGGAGAAGTTAGATAGTGATGGGTTACTTCGGACAAGGTGAAAGGGATAAACGGCTTGGGGATGTGGTGCGGAGAGAGACGTACTGTGCACCACTGTTGCTCGTACGAAGTGTCAATGACGCGGGACAGCAGGCTCGGCCCCTCTTTGGGTGCGTCGATGTATGCGCCCTAGATGCACGTGTAAAGTGGTCAGTTACTCATTGCCATATCCTGCAGACTTCGGGGAGGAGATGGTCTGCGTACCTGCTCTGTACAGCTGGTATACAAATAAGATCTCGAGGCGCTGTTGGTAATGTCTGCAAAAGCGGTCTGGTTTTGCGTCCCCTTTATTTGCCGAAGCGTTAGTCTTCTTGCACCTCTGGCACATCACAATGGGTCTCTGGTAACTCACCCAACAGTCATGAGAGCTAGGGTCCCCGGAGGAACACAAAGGAAGGGTGTACGTCTTGATGTAATGCTGCGAGAACAAGGTCGTTAGTATAAAACGGAAGGGAAGAGTGAAAACACAGATAAAACACAGATTCTCACAGCGTAACCACCCAGGCCAACCCAGGGCTCGCCGCCGGTGTAGTGGCTCAAGGCGTAGTCGTTCTTGGCGATCGTCTTGTTCCCATCGTTGTCGGTCACGTTGCCGCAGAAGTAGAAGAAGTCTCGGGAACCGTATGTCGAGTTCCAGTTCAACTCCTGCCACGTATTCGACAGGTAGTTGCCAGGGTTCCCAATCGGATCGACTATGGCTGACGCGAAGTCTCGGTGATCGGTGAGCGATCCGAGCCCAAAGAGCTCCTTGAACTTCTTGATGGCTACTGTGTTGTTGCGTGCGACAAGGGCATCGAACTTGTCGATGATGTTGTTGATGCGAGCCACGCAATCCTGTGGCGCGTATTTCTGAATCGGGTTATACCATTCGGGATACCCGACGACGACGTGGATGGGCGCCGACGATGCTATGCCCCCGTAGAGCACGTCGCCATACCGCTTGATGGAGAAGGCCGTCTGCGCGCCCGCAAGACTGCCTCCGTAGAGAATCCAGGGCGTGCCGGGTGCGGTCAGGTCATGGTTAATGCCCGGAAACACGGCGTGCTGGGCGAAATAGCTGTTGTCCGCGATAGTCTGGGCAGTTGAGAGAAAGGCGAGCTGGTCGGTCGTGGAGGTGTTGAACGGATAGCTCTGCCCGTAATAGCGATTCTCGAGGATGACGCCGAGGCCGTTGGTGGCTTTCGGTTGCGCCGCAAATTGCCCTCGTCCGTCAATGATTCATCTTCGCCTGTCTTCTGGCTGACGAGAAAGGATAGACGGCAGGCACCCACCTTGCATCAAGATTTGAACTATCCCCGTTCGGAGGTTGGAAAAACGACTCGGACCTGAGTTCACGCACAGGTTGGCATGTGGTCCAAGGTGTGTCTGTGTCTCTATGATGGCTGGCGATGAGACTCACCACTCGTCTCCCCGCTTATGTAAAGATATACCGGCCCGCCTTGATAATTCTGGTCAGCAGATCCGGGTGGAGACATGGACGATGGGTGCGCTCGGTGGCTCTCACCTGGCTTGTAATACGACGAGTCAAAGTAGTACCGCTGAGTGAAGGTCTCATTGGCGAACGGGAGGTGGTTGTCTGGGAAGTGGTTGATCTTCTGCTGGAAGTAATGAGCGGCGTATGTGAGGTCTTCACGAGCTACGTCGCGCTTGCGCTGTCCGGCCTGTACTACGGCGTCAAATACCGCGGCAACTAAGCCGACGGCCAGCAACCTGTAACCTTTCATCGCGCAAGATCTTGTCCTCTCCTGGGAAGGAACTGTATCTAGATAGGGATGGTCGCCGGGCGGACCAGGAGCTATTTATTTATCCCCGAGCACGTTGCTATCGGGATCCTGGTCGCAGCACTCTTGAGCTGACGGCTATCACATCTTCGCCGCAGTGATGATCATGCTGATGCTGATTCCCTTCGGAAGCCGGGAAATCGGGATCGCTCACTAGTGACCGAGGGCGGGGACGGGGGGTTCTTATCTCAGTGAGCAATGAGCATATTAAAAAGACCTACCTTGCCACCGCCCGACAGTCGCTTTGCCTCTGGGAACTTACGAATGCGGAAGGTAATGAGGCGTTGTTGCGTAAATTGACACTGCCAGTGGGATATCACCACCACGGTCCACCACTGGCCATTCATCAATCACACCGCCAATGCTCTGCATGAGGCCCATGATTGATCCTCATACGCTGACAACCCCCCACTGTAATATGAGGAGCCACGTCCTTTACGCCGTGTTCTGGCTTACATGCTGAGGCAAGTGTAACACAGCAGCAGTATCCTAGAGTGAGATGATGAAAGGACGACCAGAGTTCTGAAGACTCGGCCTATGAAGATGTGCTTGGGAGGTCCTACCCTGGGTACTACTGTGTACATGTATTCTCAGAAACAGTGTGGGTCTAGACTAAGCATTTTACGGGATGTACAGCAGCAGAGAGCTCGCTTACTTGCATGCATGCACTAATGCACTATCCCAAATACTGACTGTGATTACTGTGTAACTCTGTGTGTCCTCACCTGACATTGTGAATCGCCGAGAAGTTGGCAGTTGTATCCTCTGTCTTGACTGCCAGTGGTCACCTTCCTGAAAAACAAAGAGGACGACGTCAAGTGCCGTGCCTCAGGAAAGTACCGACGGCGTTACAAATGAGAACTGCATGTGGAAAGTCAGATCAGATTATATATTGCAATACATTCTTCGCTGCTCTTTACTACCTCAGTACTGACCAACAATGAGTGTTTCGGAAGGCACCCGCCAGCATCAACGGCAGGCTCGGAAGCATTCTTGCGATACTCCCTGGCTTGAATTTGGACCCCAATTACTGATCCACATGTGAAACGAGGTGTAACACTGTGCGATTCTCAATGCAGAAAGGTAGCAATCAAGCTTGGAAAGCACCTGTCTTCCGTCCTTTAACAGACGTTGCAAGACCTTAGCACTCCAGTCTCGCCTCGATGATGCTATTCCCAGGATTGTCGACTCCCCAAATATGTATGATCCGGAAACCCTCGGTCTCCAACAAGGCCTTCCACTCATCTACTGAGCGCTCTCGCCCCGCCATTGATACTATGTTTATATCCCGCAGGGCCTTGTGCGGTTTCGACGTCGCCACCCTGCCCAAGACCAGATCACATATCAGCAGCCGAGAATCAAACCCTCGCATGGCCGGCACCAGGTTCTGCAAGATCCGCCGACAGGCCTTGTCGGGCCAGTCATGAAATATGTACTTGAACAGATATGCCGCAGCTCCTAGTTGGTCACCCCGAGTAGTGAGTCAGTTAGTGGTGAATCCCAATAGAGATGGACACGCCGTACGTACCGCGAACAGGCTGCTCCTCCTGCAGAAAATTATATGCCTGGACTTTGATCCGGCCAGGATCCACCTCTAGCCCCTGCTCATTCTGAAGGACATGGGCAAGATCTTGGAGCACCACGTCGACGTCTTTCAGCTCGGGA